CATGATTGAATCAATCTCCTTCTTTGTATTAACTCACTTTTTCCAGTTCCATCAACTTAAAATTTTAAGGCAACCAGGTTACTCAAGTTAAACCAACAATATTTTTTTACAGTGTATCCACATGAACATGTCTATTAAAGTCAGTGGCACATACCTGAATGCTTGGTTTTAATGAACTGAAGATCAATGTTCATTGGACAAAAGTCTCTAAACGTGTTTTTCTCGGTCCCAGCTGGTTGCAGAGCTTCACTGGGAATCTATAAGGGCATCACATTTGCAATGGAAACAATACCATTTATGGCTTTCCATGAATATATTTATGTCTCACATAGAACCCTGCCTTCTCTATATGACGATTTGAGTTCTCAAATGGGCAGGAACATTGTTTTGAAATGTAAGAGCAAAATCAATGTTGTCTGATGGTTCAACTTTGCAATCTATTTATTTTAGCCATCACAGTTCTGTCTTTTTCCTTACGCCACAAACAGTTCTGAGCTTGGTTCATTATGCATTTTCACAAGTAGTTTGTGAAGCAGCTTTCTCTAGCGCCAAATAAACATCAGTACACTTTTGTCATTGACGAATGATTACCTGCTCTTGAAAAGCAGCAGCCGCCACTGCAGGAGATAACAAAAGGTCGCCCGACCTGAAATCTCGCTCTGTTTTTTCCCCCCCATATGGATTTGCCGCACTTGGCAACGGCAGCGGCCCTGGTGACAACGAAACAGTGCTCGCTGTCTAGTCTGCTAAAACACTATTTACATTTCCCCACAAATCTTCCCGTTTCTCACGCACACAAACACACGCATCCGCACAAATGGCAAGCCGTGAAAAGAGAAAGACAAGTTAATAGCAAACAGCACACTGCATTTTTCATTTAGTATCTTTAACGGGTTGTTTTGTTTTTCACACGGTGAACAGAAAAACCCATGGCTGATTATGTGAAGAAGGCGTGAAATTGTGATATTTGCATGGCTGGGGATATTAACTAGAGGCATTAGTTGTTGAAAAGCTTCAAGGCTGGGCTCCAGACATGTTTTTAAATAATGGTTTAATGATGCATATTTTACAAATATTTTCCAAGCCAGACTACCGGCGCACCCTGTCTCTCTCTCTCTCTCTCTCTCCTCCAGACTACATTAACGCTCATATTCTTTCTTCATTAACAGGCTCACAGCCCTTTCGCTATGCTCCTTTGTGTGCATTTGTAAAAAATCAACTGGAAAATAGACAGCATGAGGCAGCCGAACAAACGTTTTTAGTTTCTCTATTTCTGTGCGGACTTTACCAACCAACCGCTGCTCGTCATTTTGATTAGTTGTATTCGTTTTTAACCACCTTCCATCACTCAGTCACTGATTGGGATGTTGAGATGAAAAATCCACAAAGAAGTTTAAATGGGTTATGATCCCATCGCGCTTGCTGTATTTTGCACTACATCTCCTCTCTTTCTCTAAGCCAGGCCTGGTCCCTCTGCTCCATTAAAGGCAGATCTCAGTGGTGCAGGTATTGGCCGCTGTGAGGTGCAGCTGTCTAAGTTGCCGCTTTGGCACCGAGTTACTGTGTCCAGACAGAAAAGCACAAACATCAGGGTGTCTGGCCACACGGCCCCAGTCCAGAGACCATCAGGCTCAGGCCTGTTTTACTGCTGGACGCCATACAGACACCATCACAGAAATGGCCAAGAAAACACTCAGGAACACATTTGCTCAGGCAGAGCAGTGGAACTGGCTGAGAATGTGTTTTATACATTTATATCAGAGGGCCACTGAAGCTAGTCACTCAAAAGAGGAGATTCATTGAATATGTGACATCACAGTCTGGTCTCATGGGTAAATCTGATTGAAAATATAATTAAATGTATCATAAATGCAAAAGAATTCAATGATTTGGTATTAGGTTAACTAAGGATTTGTACACATTAGTACATTTCAGTGCTGTCGTTACTACAATAAAAAATGCTGGGTTGTTTTAACCCAATTTTGGGTCAAATATGGACAAACCCAGCCATTGGGTTTCATTTTTAAATTACATTTGAGTTCGTCCATATTTGACCCAAAAATTGGGTTAAAACAACCCAGCATTGTTTAAAGTGTGTACATTTCAGTGCAAACTTAAAGGGATACTCCACTTTTTTTTTAAATAGACTCATTTTCCAACTCCCCCAGAGTTAAACAGTTGAGTTTTACCGTTTTCGAATCCATTCAGCAGATTTTCTGATATTTAGAAGAATATCAGTAACCAGACAGTTTTTCCTACTATGGAAGTCAATGAGACCAGATACTTTCTGGTTATTGATATTCTTCTAAATATCAGAAAATCGGCTGAATGCATTTGAAAAAGGTGAAACTCAACTGTTTAACTCTGGGGGAGTTGAAAAATGAGCCTATTTCCAAAAAAAAAGTGGAGTATCCCTTTAAGTAATTGTACCTGTGGTAGAACTTTGCGTAAAAATACAGATAAAATCACGTTGGACATTACTGTAGCTCAAACATTATCCAAAAGCAATTACAGTGGTAGAAAAATCACTGTAATGCACATCTTTAAATGACACTGCTGTGTAATGAACTCATTCATAATATATCATTTTAATATATCATATATACACATTTCACAAACAAATGTTTAAAATATACATTAAACAAAGATAATTAGATAATATATAAAATGAAAAGAATATAATTCTAATTAGTTCATTTTATTTCATAATTAGTTTATTTCATGCTTTGTGTTGTGCCAGGTGTAAAAGTGTCAATGAAAGAGCAGCTGAACAGAACAACAGCATTAAACGCTGTTTTTCTCCGACTGGGAACCTTTACAGGCTCTCATTACAGAGATGATTTACATATATCCACACACAGATGAAGACATGAGAGCACGCGTGTGTGTGTCTAGCACTGAACAAGAGCTCACAGCGTTTGAGGAGATCTGAAGGTTGTCTATCGGTTCTCAGAGCAGTGAGCTTGCACATCTCTCTCCAAGTCTCATGAATGTAATTGACCTTTTTTTTTTTTCCTGTACTGCTGCTGAGATGGTGGCCATGGGGGGGTGGGGGGTGGGCTATGACACAGAGACTAAACACCAGCCAAGCAAAGTTAATTGTCCAGCTGAACAATAACGCAATGGAGACTGCAGATATGAAAAGGGCATTCAAATCAATAGATCGACAATAGCCTTTCCGAAAAGATGGCTGAACTCAATTTTCTGGCCGTGGACACCCTCTAAGCTCCAGACACACTGCAGACCCCCCTCCTTTAAGACCACCACGACCCTTCAATCACAGCGCCCAAACCTCCTCCACAAACAGAGGCTTGTGGTTTGTACTTGCAAAGCTTCTTTTTCTTTTTCCTTTGCTACTTTTATATTATTTAGATTATTTTATACATTTTTTGCCCACACACACGTTTCCATGGTTTATGAGGACTTCCCAATAGACATAATGATTTTTATACTGTACAAACTGCATGCATATTCTATCCCCATACACTAACCCTACCCATCACAAAAAAAAACTTTGTACGTTTTAAGATTTTAAAAACACTTTGTTTAGTATGATTTATAAGCTGGTTTACTCGTGGGGACCATTAGGTCAAAATTTACTGGTATTACTTATATATAATTTCTATTGTTTCAATAAATGTTTACCAAACCTACAGTGATTTCACTTGAATTCTGAATTGCAATTAGTCTGCTTTCATATATGCACGACATATAACAGTACAGTATGCAAATAAATGCAAGAAAGCAGACAAATTGCAATTATTTGTAAAAAGTAAGTAAGAAAAAATGTATTTGTATAGCACTTTTCTCAGATGAAGATCACAAAGTGCTTCACAACAACATACTGAGCATACTGAACTGTAATAGCATTTATTTGCATACTGGATTGTTATTGGTCTCTTATTTCGTGCATGTATTTAACTATTTAGCTGCCATTCCAATGTTGAAAAAAAATGTCACTGATGTCACTGATGCCAAAAAGCATTTAATTTACACAAAACTGCAGTAAACTTCAATAAAACTTTACCAATCTATTCCTTTCATTTTAGATACACCTTCCTTCATCATCCCCCCCCCCCCCCCCCCCCCGCCACTAACGTCGTGTTTAGTTTGCGTTCTGCATTGCGATGGGAACGGTGGGCGAGGCTAATCATTCTTTAGCTGTTCTGGCCTTAGAAAGGTCAGCTGTTTGAAATGTCAGGCTTCAATGGAGCCAGATTCACATCGTGCTGCTCAAGTGTCCAATTAAAGAGGGTCTGGCAAGGGTTGAGTGGGAAGCACTCTTCACACAGGAGAGCTAATGAGGGGGCCAGGGCACCGAGACCCCCCTCGGCACTGATCTACAGGGCCTCGACCACGGCGGCAGATCCCGACCGAAGGGCTGGCACTCGGAGTACTGAGAAGACCTCCAAGGGCACCGGGGAGGACATGGCTTGATCTCATTAAGAACTATAGATACATGTATGTTAATTTTCATCATCCCTTTCACACACACTTATGTAATATGTGGATAGGTCGACGTGTCCTGTTGCGATATCTGTCTCAGTCATCTAAGAGTGCAAGCTGCTTTCCATATAGCAGGAAAACAAGTTTCCGTCACATTCAGCGCGGACACACGCAGGTCAAAGGTCACCGCAGTCGCATATACACTTTGAATACACATCGAATCCTAATAAGAAGCCAGGCTGCAGGCTCACAGAGGAAGACAGGGACGGATGAGCTCATTTACAGGGGTGATTCTTCATTTACAGCAACTAAAATACCCCGTTCACCTCATCAATAAGTCATTAGGCCCATCTGTAGTCCGGTGATCTACTACCAGTTTAGCAGTTGTGTTTTCAGCGGTTAGTTTTAATAACTGCATTCGGGGAGTTCTAGATCAGCAAAAAGCGCAACGGCTCTCCAGAGCCCCTCTGCAGTCTGCTTGTGCGCAATTGTGGAGTTTTTATGAAGAAAAAGTAGATTTTACTGCTCGCTGAAATCAGCAAAATTACCCTCCCAAAATGGCAAGGGGAACAGAAACATGAGGTAATATTTTTATTTTTTATTTTCATTATATAACCCCAAACAAGGTAAGCTAAAAATCATGTTGCACCGTGCATGTCTTTTGTAGAGTTGTGAAGGTCAGCGGTACAGTCTTGTGTGGCTTTGGGTAACAGATGCTGAGCAAAGCTGGGAAAATTAGCCTACTCCACGTGCCTTACATAAACATTATTTTAATCAAAGTGTATTAGAGCAGCCAGATATTTTAGACATATGGGGGCTGCATCCTTCCTGGCTACCCCATCTGTCTCTCCCAGAGCTCTGAATGCAGTTTCAGCCATCACCCAGATGCACTGAGAAAACATTCAGCTTCCCATTGAGACGCAGAAGCGGAGGCTGTACCCGCTGCTCTGGGACAGGCACGCCCGGGCTGCTACGAAGGGACCAAGAAAACGCTGAGAAAAGAAATGGCGAGAAAAGGCCTCTTTTTGGGGGTGCAGCTGATGCTTGTTGTGAGAAGAGAAGTCATAAAGAGTGACGCCCTCTTTGAACACGCAGCATCCCCATCTGTGAATCCAATGTTGTTGTGTGGTGTAGTGTGCAGTGAATAACAAACACACATGCACACAAAGCAAAACTTACATACTCACCAGGGTTGGTGATGGTCAGAAGATCCAGCCTTCGTTGTTGCTGAAAAAGATATAAAGAGACATCAGAGATCTTTTGTCAGAGAGATGAAACTAAGACTTTTTTTTTCATTTTTCAAAGTCTGTACTGTCTGCCTGTAAAGCGCATTTTGCTCTCTATCTCTCTCTGGAGAGATAAAAGTGTGTCATGCGTTTTACATCAGTTTTATGTAAATACATATGCATATATATCACTCTATAAAACACAACGTTTCTAATCTTACGCTTCTTTTAAAGCCTATTCACAGCAAAAGAGTTATATATGATTATATAGAGTTATATATTATATAACCCACAATCATCAAGAGTGATACATCAATCAGACGTTTTGTATACCATAGAAATGTCAATTGTGCCAAAAGTGACCTCCAGTGACCATCCACTCCCAAAAAGCATTAGGAATGGTGTAGTGGAGATAGTTTGACACATTTAAAATCAATGGCTTTGAGCTAGTAGTTTTGTTTAAGGTATTGTCAATTGCCTTTATTGGACGATTATTTAGTTTTTATTAAAAACCTTCCGGAAGATTGTATTATCTTACATAAGTATTAAATAAAGAAAGAAAATATATATATATAAACACAAACATATTTATGTATCTTCACAGATAAAACACAGGTATATATATATATATTTTTTTTTTTTTCTGTTTGTTGTCTGTACACACTCTTTCTCTCTGTCTTTATTTGTTGGCCCATTTGGGTACTTGTACTTCAACCCACTCCTTGCTCTGCTAACGGAATAGCTTTATGTAGGGTGTGTGTATTTGTGTTCATAATCCATTGCGATTTGAGAGTTATGTATTCATGTGTTGTAGTAGATGCGCGTCGTTTCCTGGAGAGAGGGCGTGGCAGAGGCTACAGCAATCCACACAGGTCACACTCTCAGATCGATAAGTGCCCAATCAAAGACTGATGGCGTCCTCAACGCGCTGCAGTGTGAGGCGGACACACATAACACACACACACTGTGAGGGCAGGCAGCTCGAGAGCTGTACTTTAACACTCTTGTGGTAACAGTACTGCAGGTCCTTCTACATAAGAGCCACTACACACATAGTAGAGCAGAGAGCATACACTGATATCATTCACACACTCACACACACAGCTCTGCTTTTAAATGGCTGGTCATTCCTGACGATTAGCAATTATCCATTGAAGCCAAAGGGCTTTAACTTGGTTTTGAATTCAGAAAATGTATTTTTTTTTTGTGGCTCTCTAGGAATGGAAGCAAAATACTAAAATATTAACAGAGTTACTGAATCAATAATGAACAATCACTGTGTGTGTAATGTGTGTCGAGTGTGTTGTGTTATTCATTATGCTTATAGCAATGTGTTTAGCAATATGTATTTTATTGGGGCCACCTGACTTGTCCATGATGTGCATTTTCTGTATGCTAAAAACAGTATAATACATGGCATGCATAAAATATGTTGGCACCTGTCAAAAAAGTATGTGTTAATGTGGTGTTTATGCAGTAATTGGAAGATATGAGTTATGACTCATAGGTGCTAACTCTCTTTTAAGTTTACACAGTGTAATATAATGGCAGTTGACGTTAAAGATTAGGTGAAAACGATTTTGTTTTGACAAGCTCTTGAAAGGATGTCTATTGTTTTATTTTTCAGATCGCCCCCTGCTGGTGAAAGAGACACATAATACAACCTCTGCGTTTATAACAGGGAAAGTACTGATAGAGAAGCAGTGCATTACACTAAAGCATGCAATAATATTAAAGATCATTTCAATAAAGGTTTGTTTTGCATTTTAAACATTAGTTGACTTGCAATATATGTCCATACATGAATCATGGGATCAGAAAGTCAATATCACTGCTTCAAAATCAAGTTGTCTACTGCCTACATAGGCTGCATCCTAAGTGAAATGACACCACCACACAAATATCACTACTCTCACAAAGTGCACGGCACATAAAAATGATATAGTTTGATGTTACTTGGTTTTTAAGCTAATTCTGCAATAGTAAGATAAGGATATACGGTGCACACACACACAAATATTGGGTAAACTGGTCAAAATTTTATGTCAGATTAAATGGTCAGATTTAAACTTTTTTTTTTACTTTCATTCTTGAAAGATAATAATATATGACAAATAATTATTGACAATATTTCTCAGGATTAGCTGTCTGTTGTTTCTTCAGAATTTGGCCAAAATGTTGTATCTTACAAGGTCGCCTTCACATCAGGAGCATGTCTATGATGCCTTAAATGCTTTCTAAGTAGGCAGCTCACTTGTTTTTAGAACACAGCTAATGTTAGTCTTTATGAAGCGATCCATGACAGCGAGCGGCCCAACTACAATCCCCTTTCCCCAGAGCCCGAGACAAGAGTAGTCTAATTATTTGGTATTGGTCTTGCACTATTACCACATGGAAATAAGGCGGTTAAAAGGCACTTAATTCAAAGGAGATGATTTGCGTCAAAATGAACAAGGCACTTAAACAACATGAGCATACAGCTCTATCACCGGACACGATCATTTTATGTGAGTTCTCCCATTGACAGTTCAAAACCGCTGAGAGCTTCCTTTCTTCTACGCCAATTAGAGGCTCTGAAAAAGGCCAGTTGCTCCATTCCTTTGATCTGACCTTTGTTAGTTTTGCTTGGCCTTGTTGGTACAGATTCAGCATTTAAGAGAGAAACGACAAGTGGAAAAAGCCAGTGACTGCTGCGATGCGTCTGTCTGTACATTGACATTAACCTTTGATATCACTTCTGGCCTTGTACAGCCTGACTGAATTCTGTCAGTTGCAGCTACATGTAGAGCATTCTCTCAAGCTAATTTTGTCAAGAGATTTTTGACAGCTGAGTCCTTTCAATAAATCTATGGAAAATGGAAATGAGATACTCAAAACGCTCTTTACCTCAAAGTAGCAATGTTTACATGCAGTAATCTTTTAATAATCCACCTGATAGCTCAATCGGAACGAAAAGCCTTCACGTCAGCAACACAATTGATCCAATTAGGCACCCGAATCCATGTTGTTGCTGTAGATTTAAACATTTCGTTTTTCTTCTAAAGTCCACAGGGCCATGGGTGCACATCAACTGATATTTTCTTCAGATTACAAAGGTTACTCTAACATATGAGCAGTACAAGAGACACTGTTTTCCAGGAACAGGGAAAAAGGAAAAACCGAGACAGAGAGAAAATCACATTAGGAGAGGCAATCCTAGGCATGAAAATAGGATTGTATTAATCTTTATCAAAGAGTGCCAAGGATTCCCCCTCAGAACAGTGGCAGTCTACATAGGAGCACACAGTGGGTGTCCCGGGCCTCATGGAGTCAAAATGCGTTTAATATTCTGAATGGATCACACAATATCTATTCTATTGTAACAGCAGAAGACACAGCCACAGGTGAACAAGATGGGAGAGAGATGGCAACTGGTGCCGAAAGTCAGAGATCTGGGAGATCGGGGCTGTGACACACGAAAGGCCGGCTCACCTCAACAGATGCTGGGGTGAGTGCCCTTCACCCTATGTCAAAAAACCCAACGCACCCTGTCCAATTACCAGAGCCATAACCAAGTACTCTCAGAACACACACACACACACACACATTTACCTAAAGAGACTTCAGTAGTTTGCATATAAAGCTATGCCATCTCATATGTATATAGTTTTAATTGATTTTATTACATATATCAAGATGACTTTTTACTATCTATTTTTATTTAATAAAATGTTTATATGTATATATACAGTATATATATAGTATATGTATATACACACTCTAAAAAAATATGGACAAAAATGGACAAACCCAGCCATTGCGTTACATTTCTTAATTACATTTATAACCCAACGTTTAGGTTTGTCCATATTTGACCCAGAGTATATATATATATATATACACTCACCGGCCACTTTATTAGGTACACCTGTCCAACTGCTCGTTAACACTTAATTTCTAAGCAGCCAATCACATGGCGGCAACTCAGTGCATTTAGGCATGTAGACATGGTCAAGACAATCTCCTGCAGTTCAAACCGAGCATCAGTATGGGAAGAAAGGTGATTTGAGTGACTTTGAACGTGGCATGATTGTTGGTGCCAGAAGGGCTGGTCTGAGTATTTCAGAAACTGCTAATCTACTGGGATTTTCACGCACAACCATCTCTAGGGTTTACAGAGAATGGTCCGAAAAAGAAAAAACATCCAGTGAGCGGCAGTTCTGTGGGCGGAAATGCCTTGTTGATGCCAGAGGTCAGAGGAGAATGGCCAGACTGGTTCGAGCTGATAGAAGGGCAACAGTGACTCAAATAACCACCCGTTACAACCAAGGTGGGCAGAAGAGCATCTCTGAACGCACAGTACGTCGAACTTTGAGGCAAATGGGCTACAGCAGCAGAAGACCACACCGGGTGCCACTCCTTTCAGCTAAGAACAGGAAACTGAGGCTACAATTTGCACAAGCTCATCGAAATTGGACAATAGAAGATTGGAAAAACGTTGCCTGGTCTGATGAGTCTCGATTTCTGCTGCGACATTCGGATTGTAGGGTCAGAATTTGGCGTCTACAACATGAAAGCATGGATCCATCCTGCCTTGTATCAACGGTTCAGGCTGGTGGTGGTGGTGTCATGGTGTGGGGAATATTTTCTTGGCACTCTTTGGGCCCCTTGGTACCAATTGAGCATCGTTGCAACGCCACAGCCTACCTGAGTATTGTTGCTGACCATGTCCATCCCTTTATGACCACAATGTACCCAACTTCTGATGGCTACTTTCAGCAGGATAATGCGCCATGTCATAAAGCTGGAATCATCTCAGACTGGTTTCTTGAACATGACAATGAGTTCGCTGTACTCAAATGGCCTCCACAGTCACCAGATCTCAATCCAATAGAGCATCTTTGGGATGTGGTGGAACGGGAGATTCGCATCATGGATGTGCAGCCGACAAATCTGCGGCAACTGTGTGATGCCATCATGTCAATATGGACCAAACTCCCCGAGGAATGCTTCCAGCACCTT